ACCTATTACATCATTATCGGGATACGCGCAAGGCAGTTGCGTAAGAATACAGTCAGTGGCTTCAGGGGCAAAAACATTTTAACGTTAGGTGCTGTCCCACTTCAGACAGCAAATTCCTCTGTGGCTTAGCTGTGGCCAGGTTGCCTGCTTGGTAAAACAAGTAACTTCTGTTGTCGACGGAAGGAAGACACAGACGCTCAATATGAGTGATCAGTGAACTTCGATTTATTGGATAGCTCAGCCATTTTTTATATGATTCAATATAATTAGCTCATACATATTGCAAAAGCTAAGCTCACTATTGGTTAGTGCAACTTTCCCTATCTTATCAGCTAGCTCCTCATTCCCTCAACCGTTATCCTGTCTTAGGCACTTTCCCATCCACACACTGACACAATGCCTTTGTCCCTTGACTGGCTTCCCGCCATCTCCCAGACTCATATGAGCTGCGTTCGATACTTTTTTAGCTCGCGACCTCCAAGTTGCTCAACATTCACATGACCTACTTCACTTAACCATTCCTCCACAAACTTCACCGGGCACAGGGGAGCACAGACATGCCCCAGTTTGCAGCTCCAGGTTTCTTGGAAGGGTCGGAGTAAATGAAAATTGTCATTTGGAAAGGTGGATGAAAATACGTCTAAAATGTAACTTAAGTGCTTTCACAGATAGGTTCTCCTAATGTCTTGTAAACTCCTTGTTCCTCTCATCATTGCTCCCAATGTCTCAAGTCTCAGCTACTGCATGACTTTCATGTGCTAGTACACATTGCTGCTATTTCCCTAGTATACTCGTGCTATTTCTTGCACTTCTTCAGCTCAGAAAAGTAGCCAGTCACAGGATGGCTGAGGTTGGAAGGGACCTCCAGAGATCACCTAGTCCAACCCCCCTGCTCAAGCAGGGTCACCCAGAGCATGTTACACAGGATGGCATCCAGGCAGGGTTTGAATATCTCCAAAGAGGGAGGCTCCACAACCTCTCTGGGCAGCCTGTTCCACTGCTCTGTCCCTGAACTGTAAAGAAGTTCTTCCTTATACGGTGATGAGACCTCCTATGGTTCAGTTTATATCCATTACCCCTTATCCTATCATTGGTAAATATGGCTTATATGGCCTCGGGTAAATATGGCTTATTTCAGCCAGATCATGTCTGCGCCTAGCACTGGCATCAGCGGGCTCAAGTCATTCGTGTGCCTGTCAGAAGACACAGGAGGGCAGCACTGCTCTGTTCCGAGGAAGCCGTGTGAGCCTGTTCCATGCCTGTGCATTTACACCAGGAGCCATCTCCAAGCAGGGTCGCTTCTGGATTCTCTGCGTTAAAAAGAGGCAGATGGGAGAAGGTGAAGGAATTCTCTCTGCTTACCCAAGCAGGTTTGAGATGGGCTTTTTGGTTCGGCTGAGCAGAGCACACAGCTGGCAGACACCCATGGTTCCGTGAATATCTTGGTAAATGGCAGCACTCTTAAAAAAATGTCCTTGTGGCATGACTGTCATCCTAATAAGCAGTCTGCTCTAATCAGGTCCATCGGATGGGGCAGAAAATAGCTCCGTCTGGCTAGATTTTTCTCCCTCTCACCTGAACCCCCGAGAAAGGAAACCCTTCCCATTGGAGTGGGATCCTTCCTGCCTGGCCATCAGTCTCACCAAAGCGGTTTGTGAGTTTTCTGCTTTGAAACGGGGACATTTGTTTCTTTCCCTCCACAGGCATTCTGATCATGATGACGCTGTGTGACGAAGTGGACGTGTATGAATTCCTCCCTTCCAAGCGGCAGACTGACATTTGCCACTACTACCAGAAGTTTCACGACCGTGCCTGTACCATGGGAGCTTACCACCCTCTCTTGTTTGAGAAAAACTTGGTGAAGCGTATAAACCGGGGCACAGACGAGGACATTTATACTCACGGGAAAGTTACTTTGCCTGGCTTCCGAAATGTGCATTGCTAGCAAATCAATTTTTAGTGCGTTTAGAACTTTATCCTGACTGTTAAAGCACTTTTTAAATCTGGGTTGTGAGATTTGTTAAGTCTAAGCACTGGTGTGTTTTGACAGCTCTTCCATGTTGCAATACTTGCTCTTGGGACTTCGTTGCATAACTTTTCCAAACCATAAGGCAGTGCAATACGTTGTGGTACGTCCACACGGTATCTGCATGAGCCACTGCAATAAATTTACTCCTTGTGGAGCAAGGCTCATGCGGCCGGTGGAGATCCCTGTCTTCATCTCAACTGCTGATGGTGTGTGGGAAACAGAGGAGATGCTTTCTAAGCAGAGATTGCACAAGCCTGGATTAAATGCTGATAAAGTTCAGCTTGCTTCAAAGGGATTATGACAGTTGGAAACCTGGTCCATTGAGAAAGAAGGAACTTACTGTAAAACTCATTCGCATCATCCTAGAGCTCCTGGGAGCAGGGCTGATTTATGGAAACACTGTCAAAGCTGGGTATTGATAAGCTAAAATCTTGGTTCAAAATATTTGATTTTACAAACAATTAAATAACCATAGCAACTTCCTTTCAAACTGTAAGACTTTTGAAATCATTCAGGTGGCATTTTTGGCAAATCAGGAGGGAGGCGACTCACGATTGAGTGATTTGTGCAAGATATATTTAGACTTTTTAGTTGTTGATTTTTTAAAATAATTTTAAACATATTTTTTTAACATTTACTTCTCCAATATAGTTTTGTGCTTGGTACAAAAGAACCCTTATTTGAAAATATTTTGGGGTTGATGTTCAAAGGCACAAATGGGGAAACTCATTGGAAGCTGGTACTTCTTTCCAACTCTCTGCTGGTCTACCTTTGTAATTATTGGCAAATTATTTTCTGGCATGTTTTCAGTAACAAAAATGCCACATAGCTGCTGGCCAGATGATATCCAGTTCTCTGCAAACTAACCAAGGCAATCTCACAGCGGTTTTGTGCTTTCTGAATACATGGGGAGCAGATGCATTGCCTCCATTCTTCATCAACACTGGGCACGGGGAGAGTGTGCTCTGCTTCTCATGCTAAATCCCAGGCAGAGCTGAGGAGGGCACCTTTTCCCTCCTCTTTACGAGACAACTCTCCTGTGGCATCATGGTGGAAGTAGCAGCTCCACAATCTCTGTACTTCACTGAGAACACCTTCTGTGTCCTTTTCCATACCAATGTATTTCATGATGTCTGTAAAGAAAGCCTTTTCTTCTGTTTTGAATAAATCCTGTGAAGTCGCTGGCCCATTCTTACCTTGGTGAAATCAGTGTGAGTATTGTTGTTCCTGGGACTTGGGGACTTGGGCCAGTCTTGCAGCAGAGCAGGCAGAGCTGGAATGGGCACTGCTGACGTGCTGGTTTCAGGGAGCCCATAGCTCTTGTCCAGCTCTTGGTGAGAGTGCTGCCATGGAGCCGGTGCTCTGGGGTTGAGAAGAAGCTCTAAGGCTGGCTTTCTGCATGCTGGCCTTTTGGGATGGATTGGATCTGTCACTGCTTGTGCGTTGTATGTCACTGACATATATTTGTCCATTTGTTTGTTTTATGTTATTGTCCTTACACTGTTGCCCACAGCCACTAGGACAAGAATGTAGTGAAGCCCCTGTGCAGTTCTCTCTTGTGAAGGATTCATTTTCTTCCTTTGTGTTGAACTGCCAGGGAAAGGAGAGAGCCAGCAGGCTTTTCCCAAAGTGGCTGTCTGCTCTTGCCATCTCAGCTTGTAGCATGTAACAGTCCTACCTCTGGCCCTTGGTTTAAGGGACTGTCTGTCACAGTGGTTTGCCTTAGTTTGTGTTTAGTTGGGATTCAACCTGCTTCTTCCTTTTTTCTTAGGTGGCTTCATTTGTTATTTCACACAACCTCATTTTCCCTCATCTTCCCTGTTGGGATGACCTTGGGCCGCGTGATGGATGGATGTTCCCGCGCTGTGGAGGAGCAGGTGTGCCTGAACATGGCTCTGCGAAGTCCTTCTGGTGTTCTCGTGGGGGCCTCCTGAACCAGCTTCTTCTCCTGCAAGAGAAAAAATGCCACACAGGCTCCCTGGGGTCTCTCAGAGCCCTCAGTTACTTACTGGCAATGGTGTTGCACTTGGCATGAAATTTCAAACATGCTAACAATTTTAGCTAGATCCAACATATAATTCACTTATGCAGTAAACATTTTTTACGGGAATTATGACGGAGCCTAAAATAGGCCAGTGTTAACCCTCTTTTTTTTTTTTTTTGGCTGTATAGATACAAATCTGATATAAATTGCAAGTGATGACGAGTCTGGTATTTAGAAGAGCCAAGTTTACATGAGTGGGCAATAAAAGCTAGGCTGTAACAAAAGCCTTATGCCTCCTACGGTGTCTTTCTAAAGGTTTCCAGACTTTGAACAGCTTACTTCCTACCCATGTGCAAAGCAGGAGGAGAGCAACGCTGGTCTGACAAAACTGCACGTCTTTGTTGTTCTTGCCCTTTTGCTTTTACTAAAGAAAAAGGGGAGAAAAATCCCAGAAATTCAGATTCAATGTAGCTGAGTCAACACATAGATCCTCACCTGCCCCAGATGAGTACAGTGGTTGATTTGCAGCTCGATCTGACAAGGCTTATCTGTTTTATCAAAAAACATGGTTAAAAAAAACACTCCCTGGAAAGAAACACAACCCCCCTCAGCCAAATATTCCTTTTGTTTGCTGTGTGTGCACTCAAGTAAAGGTACAGCCACAGCTGAGAAGAGTTATTCTTCTCTCACATAACGTGAAGGTGACTCTTTCTAACCCAGCACTTTTGATGTTTGTTTTCACTTGCAAATTTTACCAGTCTAACAGGGAAACATCTTCACTTGCTTCAGGCGATGATATAAGACACAGCACAGGAAAATCAGATACTGTTTTGGAGTGGATTACGTGTGCATGGCCATGGAGGTGTTAGATCGTAGCAAACACACCAGAAATGGTATGCCACAGAGATGGAAATGCCCTGGTGCATTTGCAGGGCAGATGAACATAGGAAAGAGCTTGTGGATGGCTGTGTAAATGTTAACTGGTGTCCTGAGAAGGGAGCTGCCCCCAGCCCCATGTGTAGCATGCTGACAGCTGGAGCTAACGAGCTAACTGGGTTGTAGCAGGAGCAAGCTGTGCCTCAGCTGCTCTGGGGCTCACTCCAGGTGAGGAGCAGCCTCTTTTCTCAGGGTCTGCACGTGAGGGCTGCTCTCTGAAGAGGGAGCTTACAAGGAGGAGGACGTGCCTGTTTGTAAAATGTAGATGAAGGAAAACTGGTAAGTGGTCCTCTTAGCTCTGTTCTTGTATGCAAATATATTTCTTACACTCAACAAGCTGCTTAGCAGCATAAACCTGAAACTTTGTGCGTGAGAAGGGCGAAATTTCGTAAGGAACGCTTCGTTTAACAGTCAGGTCAGTCTTGGAGCTTCTCCTACACACAGCACTCTGCTACTAAACTCTGTTCAAGGTGCAGGGAACAACACTAATTTGGGGAGAAAACTTAAGCAGTGTGTATTTGAAAAAAAAACCTCTATTCAGAGTACATTCTGGGAGGACTATATCTAATGCATGTTTTTCCAAATAATTCTCCAAAAGCCAGAGAAGATGCAATCTTTAAGGGCATAATGCTAAATTAACCTCTTACCTTGTTTATTTTCTGCATGAAGTTGATCATGTTAGCTAACATAAGGGGACACACAGTTGTGTGTCTTCTTACTGCAGCTGTTCTTAAATTCAGAAGCCCAGGAAAGGGGAGGCTGTGCCATGTGGCTAATGTGACACCGAAAATGATTTTCGGTGTGATACAAAAATAGATGGTGAGAGAGAAGGGGAGGAGCAGAGGGAGTTGACTGAAAGTGCTTTAGTTTATTGCAAGTAACTTCTGGCAGGAGCTGGGTCTCTTTAAACAGAAACAGAGATGTCCCAAAATGCAGCGAACTTGTTCTGCGGTCTGCATGCCAGTGCTGAGCGTGCTGCCTGTTTTGAAGGTCAATGCAGACTGAAAGCTGTATTTCTGGAATAAACTCAGCTCGAAATGACTGTGTGCCCGTTCATGCAGAAATCCTGCGGTGCCCTTTTCCTGCCTGGCCCTGGAGCCCTCTACAACAACAATAGCATGGCACTTCCATGAGCCCACTCGATTTTAAACCCATGACAAAACCCTCAGTAGATGACAATGGCTGTTCTTCAGGTCAGGGAAAGTTAGGACTCTTAGTCTGGGCATTTGTGGTTTGCAGTTTCAAAGAGCTCTAAGATCTCCCATGGGTTTGTGATGACCCTGGGGTGGAAAGCAGTTTGCTGTAGGGGACCAGCAGGAGCTTGCAAAATCCCTGTTGCAGACGGGCACCGTGTAAGCACGGCAGAAACTGTCTATGGAGGGCTGAGCTTCTGTCCCCTTCAGCATGAAGAAATGGTCTGCGGTGTATTAGCCCTTGTCAGTGCATGGGAACCTCAGAAGGAGACCTGCTACACCAGGGGGTTTGAACCGGGTTAAGCCCTTGACAGGTTCAGCCTGTAGGCCACCTTTACAACTAACCTGCTTCAGTCTAAAATACCGAATATCTGAGTCCTCTGGTACTTAATGAGTTAAAGGAAGCTCAGGGCTGTAGGTGGTGAAAATAATACTAGTGTTTGTAGCATTTGTTTTAATTCACTAAGGAGAATAACGGCACTGGTGTGCGTGAGAGTAGGTTGTATTTTGTTAAAAGCTGGTTTCAGCTACATCCAGCAAGATAAAAATAGGGAAACTGAACTGCATGCCCTAACTTGTGGTTTATATATTACCAAATCGGTGTTATTTACAGTGTATGCACCATTACTTAAACATTAATCTTAACGGGAGTATGGAGGGGGAACTTAGCTTTTTCTTTCTCACCTAAGCATTCCCCGCCTCTTCATAGGTGCTGAAGAGCGGCATTACTGTTTTAAAACGCTTCTCAAAAATGAGCCAGATCTTTAACTGGGGTAAATCAGGGAAGTTGTAAATCATTTTCATGAGCTGAGAATCTGTTTCCCTGAGTTGATTTTTTTTCCTCAGTTATCTTGATGAGTGATATGCTATTTGATTTTCTCTCAGCTTACCAAGGTACGTGTATATTAAAGGTCAGGCCATGTTTCCTAAGAATACGTGGGTGAGGGGGGCATTTACACTTGAATTTAGGAAAACAGGTGGAGCAAATGGTTAAAGCTGGGCCTTGTGTGGCTAGAACAGCTGCAAAGCAATCTGCTATTAGGGCAGTGGAGTTTTCCAGGTAATTTAGAGGCTGCTGGCTCATCCCAGCTACCAACCAGAAAGTGCATTTTAAAACTCAGTTTCATGGCAGAAGAAAAGCCGCTTCCCCTTCAATTATAATTATCCAGGCTCTGTGAATGGGGAAGGTCCCAGCTGAAGAATTAAGGGGAAGTGATAAAACTCTTCTCGTAAGAACTGAGATGCTCTAAGCATTTGTAACAGGAAGCAACCTAACCTTGTTCGCTAGCACTGTCATGGCAGATAACTTGAGTCTGACCAGATGTAACTGTAACTGGTTGTCTATAGACACTCTTTCCTTCTTTATAATGATTAACAGATCTAACTTGCATAAATAAGGTAAGTTTGGTGGTCTCCTATCTGTATTTTTGCTACTTTAAATTCTAGGCATTGTTTGCATCCGTGAGCAACTTGGCAGTGCAATAGTGATTTGGGGTTCTTGCTTTTGAGTGGTGTGAGGTAATGGTATGGCTAAGCTGTGCATCCTGGCAGCAGCTGTGAGCTCTGTTTCAGCTGGCCTCCAGCTGGCCTCTGCAGTCGGTACAGGGATGCCAGGCATGTGAGTGTCACTTGCTAATGCGACACCCATCTATAAGAAGGGTTGTAAGGAGGACCTGGGGAACTACAGTCTTTGGAAGTGCAGAACAGGCTCATAGCAGAACCATAAGAAGATGCAGACTGCACAGAGAGGGTAGGGTGGGTCATTTGCTCATCGGGCTCCTCGCATGCTTACTGAGGGATGCTCTGGACTGCTGTGAAGAACAGCAATGACAGCAGAGCTGTATGCTTATTGCTGTTTTCTCAGAATATATATATATATTTTTTTTTTTTCAGGAATTGAAACCATATTTTCTGGTTTTGAGATGAAGCAAGTCCCCCTCACTCCTTGTCTTCATCACTATGTGACATTCTGGTTAAAGCCTATTTCTTGCAGAAAGCTGGCCCTCCTAGTTTCCAAGCTGAGGTCTCAAATGATAGCTGTGGCTGAGTTGGTGTTAGCTGCCTTTGAACAGCACAGGTGGGATACCAGACCCATCCCTCGCAGCACCTCACAGTCATTTCCATGATGGGTTTGTGCGCAGGTCTGTGCTGTCCCTGTGGCATGGGGGGTGGACACAGCGCCTCTTGATCTGACCTGGTTTGGTTCTCTCACCAAGTGCAGGGTGGCACAGCTGTGACAATGGCAAGTTCTGGGCTTTTCATCTCTTTTTGAGGCTTGGTATGCCTGTCCTGCAGTCGTGTATCAGCAGGATGGTCAGCAAAACCCGAATGCCAACCGTGGCAACTCTGCTTGCCTCGAATTGAACTGTGACAATTTGGGCAGGAATGAGGTGTGAGGGCTGCTTCGCATCTGACTGCAGATGTTGGTGAGGGAAGCTGATAGAAAGCCTCAACATCGATCTGTATTCATAGGTGAAGCTCACGCAGTCCTCACTGGATTAGCTTCTCGTTGATCCTACCCAAGCTCTGCTGGGATGTGAGCATTGCACTGGGTGGGGTGGGCTGCTTGCCTGCTGCTCTCTGTCATCTGGTTCACGGCAGTGCCAACCTTGGGTTTCTCTTCCTAGAAGTGTGAAACTCAAAACAGTCCCCCTGTGCCAGAACAATCAGAGAGCATCCTGCAAGCAGGAGGGGGAGGAAGTTCTCTCCAGATTTCTGTTTTCAAGGATGTGCAAGGCAAACAAGGGCAGAATGAGTCAATGTGGGTGGGACTGGGGTACACAACACCTCCAGCTGGGGACTGGGCTTTGGTGTGGGTGTGTTGCTCCAGATTTCGTGGCGAAAAGTTCATCCAGCTCTGCAGGCCAGTCGCTCACCCAGACTGTTGCCCTGTGTGTAATACAGTAATGGTATATGTGGTGGAAAATGTATTTTTTTTTTTTTAACTGCAGTGGAAAAAAATAACAAATATGTAGTCTTGGTGATACACATTAATAAGGAAGTGGCATATCAAGAAGTTAGATATTTTTATCACTGTTTTCCATAAAAGGGACAATACAGACAACTTCAAATTCAATCAGTTTTTCAGTTCTATGACCCATAATTGGTATTAAACCTAAGCTTGTGTTACCCCTTGCTCCCTCCTGCCTCCTTGACCAACTCCTGTCACCTGAAGCTTGTTCACATCCACTGTGAGAGGGTAGAAAGGTTTCCTGTGACTCAGTGGGTTGTGGATCAGGCCCTTAAGCTCATGTGATGGCCGAGATTTGGGAGTTTGAGAATAAATTAATTGCTAGCATGTAGAGAGCATCTACCTGTATTTTTGTTTCCTTCTGTACTAGTTCAGACAGTTCTTATCTAACTTGATGGCAAGAGTCTTTGTTTTCAGGAGACTTCAAGATTTGGCCACATGATGCAGTTTTGGGAGAAGATGTGAATGCACAGAGAGAAAATGTGACCCACAGCTGATGGCAAACAGCATCTTCTAGGCTGCCATTGAATTCCCATGTCACAGCCCTCATAGTGGGGTGCTCTTAGACCTCATCTTGTAATATGACTGGGGCTTATTTTCTGTGCGGTTTAAAATTTGTGTGTCCAAAAGCTGATTAGCTTTTCAAGCTATGTTGCTAACAATGCCTCTAGCCTGGTGCTCCACTGTGTGTTAGACGATAATACAGAAATATAAATGATTTTTTTTTTTTTCAGCTCAGTGTCTTAAAACCCTGAAGGTTTGTTGCAGTTGGATCTGTGTCGAGAACAAAAGAGCCTTCAGAGACTGGAAGCTGATAGGCAGTTTTATTCTTTTATTTATTTTTTTTAAATTTTAACTTGAGAAATCGAAGTCCATCAAACTGCACGCTTCTATGCAGTTCCTGAAGTTAATTGTGAGGGCGTAGCACCTTGGGAACCTTTTAGAATAGGTCGGTAGGAGATCTCTAGAAATGGGCCATGTCCTACTTCTATGTGCAGAGAAGTAATGCGCAGAGTGCCTGCTGTTCACTCGTAGAATTGGAGGTTTCATTTTGGCAAAGGCCACAGCAGTACCCTGTTCCTGTTAGACTCGAGCAAACAGCTTTGAGCAGGAATGTGTTTGGTGTGTAGACGTGATGCAGGTACTGCTCACTCAGGTGATCCTTTGTCTCCTATCCAAAGCGTGCATGCTGTGAGCTGCAGCTCACCTTTCCCATTGCCCTACGGTCGCTTCCTATTTTTCTGTTTGAGGCAAAACTGGGACTGCAGTCGTGTGAGTGTGGCACAACTCTGGGCAGGCAGCAGCCAGCGAGCACTTTGCATTTCCCAGTCCCTGCAGTCCCCAGGGACTCCTGTAAGGCTAGGGGACACGGTGTATGTTACAGTTCTCCATGAATCAGCAGTTTCCCCGAAGCTGGACACAGTGGCCTAATTCCATCATCACTCGTTATCCTTCCCACGTTGTGAGCACGTGGTTTCTGTAGGTCTGCATTTGGCATTTCCCTAGGTTAAGCCGTATGAAAATGCTTTGTTCAGTAATCTTCCAGCATAAGCAAAAAAGCACCCTTGGAAAAGATGATACAGAAATTAATAAAAGCTGAGCTGATGCCATCACCTGAGGTCACACTTGCTTTTTGCAAAGTGTGCTTTGCTAGCATACCCCCACTGTGCCCAGCTGCAGCTATGTGGTCACAAGAGAGCTGAATAAATAAATAAATACAGGAAAGTTCCAAAACTGGGCCTGCGAAACCATCTGCTGCAGAACCACCACTAACTCAGTCGCTGAATTCAAATGCAGCTGGGAATGCCTCAGCATCTACTTCTGAGGTTTCTGGTGGCGATGAGGCTGCATTTCAAAGCTCCTCTGTGGATCAGCAAAAACCAAACTTTTCGCTCTTTGTTTCCAAGGTGAGCTGAGGCTGCAGGGGCTCTGTTACAACACCACGTATCGCAGTGCTTTGGTGGGCATCAGCCACGGGAGACTGCAGTGTGACCGCTGCACCAGCGCCTCCTCGGGAGTCACTTTGAGCTTGCTCCCTCAAAGCATGCTCTGCACAGTCCCATGCCACTGCTTGCTTAACTTCGAGTTAAAAATTTGCTCTCTGTTTACCTAATGATGTACCTCTGGCTTGAAGAGTGAAGCCCCTGATGTGGAGGTTTCCAGGAACCAGCAGCTCTTCCTTTGAAGTTGGAAGGTGTGCGCTCCACCAATGGCAGGGTTTAGCTTGTGTTTGCTTGTCAAACAGAAAAAAAAAAAAAAAATTAACGAGAATGGGAGAGCTGTAAAATAAGTTTCAGGAAATTATATTCAAATAAGTAAGTAAAAAAAGAATCATTCAGATACCTAATGACCAAAGTGCCTGCTGTGCCAGCTTGCAACTCCAAGTCCTGGTTGGTGGTCATGAGTGTCCCATGTCAGTGCAATTTTGCTGCAGTATAAATATTTTAAAGCTATTTTACTGAACTGAATACACTTCAGAAATCCTGTAGTGCTACAGAAGTTGTTTCCACTTACAAACCTGAGTAACCCTGTGCCCGATGTGTAAACCTGAGAGGTTCCTCTCTGTGCCAGATGTGAGGATGCAGCGCTCCACCAGGAGACTGCAAGAAGTGATTTTGTGCTGCTTTGCTAGCGTGATTCTCACTTATCAGATTTACAACATTCAGCATGATTTAAGAAGTTTGTTCCTGTTCTGCTGGGACTCCGCTGGCTTTTATTGCCATATGCTGTACGCTTGCACAAGGGGAAGAAGCAAAAAGCTGCACAGTGCTGCAGTGATGCTTATAGCTGCTGCCTCTGGGGGTAACTTCACAGGGCTCTGCTGTGTGCTCTTCCCACAGCACACACTTTCCCCTAATAGTGCGGTATGTGAGCAGATTGCATGCTGTATTGTGCTGCTGGTGTTTGTAAGTCTGATGCATGTGTATAATTTGAAGTCTGAGAAAGCTCATCATTTTTTATTGATAATAGATCAGAGCATGTTGCCAATGCATAAGAATTTACGATTTTGCTGGTTTATGTAGTTTTTCTTTCTTGTCTTTTGGAAGATGATGAAGTCTCTGGATACTTTCCTCATACCTGTGGATTCTGAACTTCTACCAGCACAGCAATCTCCCCCCTGAGGATGGGGCACAGACTGCAGCTTGGACACAGGAAATGTTTGCATGCGCTTAGAAATACAGCGGCCTGTACCCGGGCAGCAGGGGCTCTCGGGGCAAGGGCTTCCCCTTGCAGGCGATGAGATAGGTACAGCGCTAGGAGCCTGCTGTTCCAGTCTGTTTGTCATAAACTGGAGGAAAAAAGCATTTTTTTATTTGTCTCAGCCATTTAAATATGTACATGTGTCTGTCCCCCTTTTGCACGTTTTTTGTTTTTTTTTTTTTTTTTTTTTTTTCCTAATTGTAGTTTTCTGGCATGCTGTCTTCTT